CTGCATTTCAACCCACATCTATGTCCGCATCTCAGCTAACCCAACCTGCCCCTCATTCCACTAATATTATGGAACAGATTCAAAGAGACGGTGTAGAGATTCAAAGACAGCAAATAGAACTGATGAAGAGAATATCACTTCCTGCCCCTAAACCACCAGTATTTAGTGGGAACATCATTGAGTTCCCTAAATGGGTCTCTGCATTTGATGCCTTAATTGAAGAAGAAGCTGTGAAGCCAGGCCACAAACTGTATTACCTCGGAGAATACACTTCAGGATCCGCGCAGAAGATGATAAACGGGTTGTTGGGTCTTCAAACCGAAGATGCCTACAAGCGAGCTAGAAAGATACTTCAAGATCGTTTTGGTGACCCATATAAGATCTACGAGGCATATCATGAACGTCTAAAATCCTGGCCAATCTGCAGTAAAGGTGCCGAGCTCCAAGAGTTAAGTGATTTTTTGGTTTCAACTCAAGAAACAATGAAAACAGTTAAATATCTCAGAGAATTCGATACTTTCTCAGCAATACAAGAGTTGGTGGCAAGACTGCCATCCCATTACAGTAACAAATGGTCACAAAGTGCAAAGAAAGTCGAAGCCAAAAATGGAGAATACACTTTCAATGATCTGGTAGAGTTCGTGCAAGAAGCCGCGGCCGACGCAACTCATCCCGTCTTCTCCCATGAAGCCCTGATATCCAAGAGGAGAGAAATCCAGAAAGATGCGAAGCAAGACGATAAGAAATTCGATAAGAAAAGGAAGTACGGTTCCTTCTCTACATACAAACACTCAGAGCAAAGTCACGGTTACTTAACAAAGAAAGGACAGGATGTTTGTCCCCTGTGCGACAAACAGCACAAGCTTGAAGTCTGTGATGAATTCCTAAAGAAGAAGGTCAAAGAAAGAACCGAGTTTGCCAAACCAAAGGGACTTTGCTTCTCATACCTACAACAAGGTCACATGGCAAGACAGTGCAAAGGAGATATCAAGTGTCGTACTTGCAAGAAACCTCACGCGACCGTTCTTCATTTCGAATCTAAGCCCAACCCTAACACAGAAAAGGTGAAAGAAGCGGACCACGTAACACATAATTGCGCTAAAGTCTGCCACGTAAGCGATAATTGTCAAGATATTCCAACGAGTTCATTGATCATACCCGTGTGGATATGTCATAAAGACATCCCGAGTAAGAAAGTGATGAAGTACGCAGTATTGGATGATCAAAGCGATTCTTGCTTTATCACAGACGGTGATTGCAAGGAACTGGGAGTTAATGGTCCGGAAACAGTTATAGAACTAGGAACAATGCACACTGTTCAAGACATCAAGACCCAGAAAATCAGTGGATTGATTATTTCACCAGAAGACGAATCGGTTGATATTCCTCTTCCCAAGTCGATTTCAAGAGAGCAGATCCCAGCACGACGAGATCAAATTCCTACCGCCGACATGGCAAGAAATTGGAGCCACCTAAGACCAATTGCGAAAGAGATTCCTGCATATCGTGAGGACCTTGACATCGGGCTGCTGATTGGAAACAACTGTGTGCAAGCCATTAAACCACGCGATGTTATCCCTGGAAACCCACGAGACCCGTATGCTGTCCGAACAGTGCTTGGATGGGGTCTGATTGGCGCAACGAATCAGAGTCACAAGCATCACAACACTGACATCTCCAACTGTCATCGAATACAAACTCGAGATATTGCATCTCAAGATTCTCCAGAGTTAAATTTCATTTCACGTAAGCCGACCAAGGAAGTGTTAAACCCCAATGCAGTACGAAGAATGTCCGAACAGGACTTTTCTGAAAGGAACGGAGAAGGGAAATCCTTATCACAAAAAGATAGAAGATTCTTAGAAAAAACAAAGGCAAGTGAGCTCATCAACAATGCCACATGGATCAACAATGCCACATGGATCAACGGTCCAGAGTTTCTGTACGAGCAACACGAAGACTCGAGTGAATATCATCAGCCAAGCGACTTAACAAAACTTCTACCCGATGATGTGGAAGTAAAGAAGGCATCCGTGCTAACGACGTCTGCAAAGGAGATGCCGAGCATGGTCGAAAGATTAGAATACTTCTCCAGCTTGCATCGTGCAAAGAAAGCCTATGCTGTTTGCCTGCGTTACTGTCGACTACTTCTCGCGAGAGTTCGAAAGAAAGAAAAGCCGAACAACGCAGAACCAGAAGTCCAGTCCAACCGGAAGTACATACCCGTTTCGGTGGAAGAAATGGAGTTAGCGGAGCAATATATCGTGAAATTAGTTCAGAAACAAGCCTTTAGCAAGGAACTGAGCTCGCTGAAACAAGAAAAGGAAGATCAAAATCACTCAAGATCCGAGAGAAAGAAACGGGTGGTGTCTAAATCAAGTACCTTATTGCGACTAGATCCCTTCATCGACGAGAATGGATTAATAAGGGTGGGAGGAAGAATAAGAAGTGCGAGCATCGATGACAAAGTGAAACATCCGATCGTGCTACCGAAGAAGGAGTACTTATCAGAGCTCGTCGTGCGACAACTTCACGAAAGAGTCGAACACCAAGGACGGGGGATTACAATGAACGAAGTCCGATCATCTGGATATTGGATGATTGGTGGAAAGTCAGTCGTCGCGAAGCTCATCAAGAAATGTGCAACATGCCAGAGATTACGTGCTACCGTAAAGGATCACAAAATGGCGGACCTTCCAAAGGAAAGATTAGAAGCTTCTCCTCCTTTCACATATAGTGCCGTGGACTACTTCGGACCGTGGTATATAAAGCAAGGAAGGAAGGAAATGAAGAGATACGGCGTACTTTTCACGTGCATGTCTTCTCGAGCCATTCATCTGGAAGTTTCAGAGACCCTTGAAACTGCCGCCCGCTCACGGTCGACAACTTAAGTTCTCCTGACTGTCCAGAGCCCTTGACGCCTAATCATCTCCTCACGATGAAAAGTAAGATAGTTCTTCCACCTCCTGGAGTGTTTCAAACGGCGGATATGTACTTGCGTAAGCACTGGAAACGAGTGCAACACCTTAGCAATGAATTCTGGACGCGGTGGAGGAAAGAGTTTTTGCATGCTTTACAAGAACGACAAAAATGGTTCCGTCCAAGAAGAAATTTCAAGGTTGATGACGTTGTTAAAGATAATGATACACCTCGGAATCGTTGGTCGTTAGCTCGTGTGGTAAAGGCCGACGAAGAAGAAGACGGTTTAGTCCGTAAAGTGAAGCTTGCTGTCGGAGATCGGAAAATCACGAACCAAGGAAAGAGGACAAACTCATTGAGAACACTAGAACGTCCAATCCACAAACTGGTGTTATTAGTACCATGTGAACAATGACCGGGAATCCCCAACGAGGAGCCTTTCAAGTATCGAGATTTTTACTTCAAATTCTGTTGTGTTATGTTATGTTTATGATTGCGTAAATTTTAGCAAATTTAGGGGAGCCATGTAACTGCTATCGCGTGGCGTGCGCGCGTGTGCGTCGCGAACTTTAGATCACGTGACTGTCCTCGAGGTCTAGAAATATTTACTCAGAACAAGAAGACATTTTATATTTACGAAGACTTTAAAATGTGATTTATAGCATGATATAAAGGATGTAAGAAATCTACGGTTTGCCCGGAACCGTTGTTTACCTTTTCTTTTACTTTCTATTAAAGTTACGAGTTAAAACAACGTTTTTGTGGGCATGTTATTTGCGTGAAACGACAAGAACATTATACCAAGTCTCTTATGTTCATGTAAATAGACAATTCCCATTGTAGACTAATTTTAGAACTAGGAAAAGAGATACAAATCAAGGCCGAATTTTGGTGAAAATGTTAGGGGAGGTGGGAAAAAATGTTAGGGGAGGTGGGAAAAAATGTTAGGGGAGGTGGGAAAAAATGTTAGGGGAGGTGCAGCAGTGAAAATGGCCGGAAAATTAGGGCTTATTGTAGAACAGGCCAATAACAACAAGGTGACGTATGCATGCAGTGTACATATGTACCAGTGTATTAATGAATTATGAATGTATGACTCCAATCTTGCCCTTCATTGCAATTGCTACAAAGTTTCTTTCAAAACATTGCATTAACAGTGTACTTAACACAGATATGAATGGCTATCACTGTTTCAAGTGTAGAAGAAGAAGTGTAAAAATTCTCAGGGGAGTTGCAAAACAATCTCAGGGGAGGTGCGCACCTCTCCACACCTCCCCTCAAAATCCGGCCTTGATGCAAATAAATCACCATTGCTAGAAAGAGCATACTAAAGTAAGTAAATTATTTCAAAGTTTGGTTGCGAGATGTTGTAAAATACGGAAAATATAGCCTTGCAAAGTTTGCAAATTTTGTATACTTTTGTATTGCATACGAAAATTGCAATACAAAAGTATTGCAAATACAAAATAGTAAATAGTAAATAGTGGTAAGTAAATACAAATTTTTTGCAACTTTGGAAGGCTATATATTTTCTACATTTTACAACATTTTGCAACCAAACATTGCAATTTTACTAATTTTAGTATGCCCTTCCCGGGAATATACTTTTTTAGTCTATAATGGGAATTGTCTATTGGTCCCCATTATCTATTTGTGTTTATAAAGAGCTAGAGTTTTTGTTTCTCTAAATAAAGATAAAGGGCTAGGGGGGGTTGTTAAAATTTATGTTCTTGTTTTGCCTGTTGTGAGGCGGGGGGGGGGCTTTGAAAATTTTACTTATCTTAAGAGGGGGGGACGAAAAAATATTATAACTGTAGAGTTTCTCCTCAGTCTCCCCCTGTACAATAAATAATGAGCAGTCCCTTAGCCAAATGTAGCAGTTAGTAAGGTTATTTGAAAAAGCGTCAAATATTTATTTCAGCAATCAAATTGCTTACCGCTCATTCTCGAGCTGAAATTTATACTGTGTCGTTGAGCCGGCAGCGTTGCAGATCGTAAACTCCCGAAGACAGAGGGTGCCCCCCCTTGGACAACAGCCTGTGAGAGCGGTATTCAGCAAAAACAACGCAAGCTAGCCAAAGATACAGGGTGCTGAAATGAAATTCCATTGTGTGGGGTAGAACTTTGCCTGACTGGAAAGTTCGGAAATTGTGCGCTGGAGATTTCAAAAATTTAATAGTAAGGTGTAAAAAAATACCTGTGGTTCCAGTTCCCGACCGACCCTATTTTTTTCTGCCGAGTGCCGACCCTATTATTATTTCAACGCAGGCTGCTGCCAAAATGGCATCTGTTGTCAGTGGCATAGCTGGCTCAAAATAATCATCCCGCTGAAGTTTCAATACATCTCTATTTAATTAAACAGGAGTATTAGTGCCTTGCTAAGGAGCCCCATAGCCTGATGCACGTGCAAATCGTGCTACACGGGTAATTTGACCTTTAGAATTGATTTCCGACGTTTTCCGAGTGCTAGCATTGTTTTGGGTAAGACCAGCTTTAATTACCGGGTAAGACCAGCTTTAATTACCGGGTAAGACCAGCTTTAATTAGCTGAATGGGTCTCACAGTTTAAATAAAGATTGTTATTATCATTATTATTATTTGGATATTTGAACTTGAACCTCCGGTCAAAGCTCTCGCGTAAAAATTAAGACATTTTGAAATACCAAAATAAAAGATGCAAATCTGCAGATACAAGCTTGAACATAACACTCTAAATAGTCTGTTAGATTGTGATTCGAACAAGACCAATACCAAAAAGAAATGTTGAAAGTAACTGAAGTTAGATAATTTTGGCGAAAGGTATGGCTTAATAGTGATACATTGTTTATATCGGTTCGAGTATATTTGTATATAGGCATGGTTAGTTTACATTGTTAGAGTATGGCTAGTTTATAATTTATGGCTATTTTACATTGTTCAATTACATTGTTCAATTACATAGTATCTTTCAAGCGGAATTTTTTTGGGTGGTATTTTTGTATTTCTACTGCAAATACTCGCGGAGTTCTTTAATATATGGAATTGAGTTGACAACCTCCGCCTTTATAAAATAGCAGGACTTTGACATAAAAAACAGCCGTTCTGAGCATGCGCTGCGCCAATTATCCAATCAGAAACCAATCAGAATTTCTTGTATAAAATAGTATTGCATATCCCGCCAAATATGAAAATCAGCGGAACACAAGACATGCAATTCACGAATTGTGCGAGTAAGCAATCAATTGCATGGAAATTAGCTAATTTTGGGTTTCAGAGGTCAAAAAGCAGACAGCAACATTGCGTAAACTTTAAATAAATAAATGAAAGCACTGAAAAATGATCATAATTATATAAATTTTCAGAATAAGAAAAGCTGTTAATTTGGTTTCACTATAAAACATTTCCTCTTTTTTTTTTAATTTCTAGTCCCGCCCGGCGGGACAGCGGGACCGGCAGTTACACCACTGTCTGTTGTCACACTAATTATTGAAAAAACAACATGAAAAAAATATTCAAAAAAAAATTATTTCCAACCTACCAACCCTAATTTTTTCACGATATGAAACCGGAACCACAGGTATTTTTTTTACGCCTAAATATATAGAAATCATAAAGAAATATCCGCTGATCATCGTGATCAATCGTAAAACGTACCAAATGTTCATGAAATGAACGGTTTTTTGATCAAACTAATAATCATCAAACAGATTAGTAGTATTCTTACATTTTGTAAAGTAATAATAAAAAACAGTTTGTTGCGACAACTGTCAGCAATTCAGCCTGGTAGCGTATTCAGCAAAGGGGTAACCTGAAGTTCAGGCCCTATCACAGAATAGGGCCTGACACAAAACCTATCTAAAGTGTGGGATTCCCGTCCACCTGGGGCCGGTTGTATAAAAACGTAGTTAGCGCTAACTGCAGTTAAAAAGTAGTTAACTCTTTTTCGTTCGCTGCTGAAATAACCAGGGGCCGTTGTATAAAACTCTTAATCACTTTTTTAATCACTATTTTGTAGTTAAATAGTGATTAACTCTCAAATACGCGCTTTTTATTGGATTACGTTTCCACTAACTATAGTTAACTTTAATCACTTTTTTATACAATCGGCCCCTGGTGGATGGGAAATATGATTGGTTGATCAGCATCATGAAGGATTTTGATTGGTTGCAAGTTCACATAAACAACAGTTTTAAAAATAGCTCGGTCAAGGCGAGAATTAATATAAAGGTCAAACACACGTAACAAATTCCATTATCGATTTCTTCGAATTTCTTTTCTTTTATGCTTTATGGAAGAAAATAAATCAAACAAACAGTATTTTGAAAGGGCTTCATCAAAATCTTTGACGAATTTTGGACACACACGACGCTGAAAGAACAGCCAAACTAGTCCTGTATTCGAAAGCTTGTTGTTGACAGCCAAGATGTTCTGCCAACTTGCTTCGCCGGCAAAAGTCTTATTTTTAATATCAGGTCCTACCAGCGTAATTGTTTTCTGAGCTACATCGCCTTCTTCGTGGTATGATTGAGAATTTAATTGTTGCTGTTATTAGCCCGTTAGTCGTTAGAGTATATCCGCGTCCAGCAAGTTGAGACTTTGAGAAAGCTTGGCAGTCAAGCCGTGCACAGAACTGACTAATTAAATCTTTGTTTGCTGTTCGCCTGTTCGGTTAAATAGAGAAACTGACTCTTAATTATATAAAAGTACCTTGAATTTTTAAGTTTAATTAAAAAGCAAAATGCTCTGCGGACATGTTCATGAGAATATATTTTTTTTGTGTAACGAAATCTACAACACTTGCCAATCATATTGCATGTGTGTCTAAAAATAACATGTGGGCGTCCCACGGTCTAGACAGGTTTTGTGTCAGGACCTATTTCAAATTAGGGCCTGAACTTCAGGTTAGCAAAGGTGTTGCGTGCATGCAAAGTGAACAAAGTCGGGTTCCTATATTTGAAGTTGGGTTCTTATATTTGAAGCCGGGCAGGCCGACTTGGCAAAACTAGCCTGATAACAGACCTACGTTTCACCCGCCCTAAAATTCGTCGACGGAAAGGGCGAAACGTAGGTCTGATGAAAATGTTGTCAAAAGCGCCCACGTTGCATTTTGCAATAATTAACAACGATGATTGACACATACATGTAATACCTAAAAATACAATGAAAGTTGTCGATTTCACTTTATTGCAAGTTTGTAAACTAGTCAAGAGACAGATATTCAAATAAATATTTAAAATGCTGGTAATCCCAAATAAAACAAAATATTTAGAATATTACACTGTATGCATATTTATATGCGTTGATTTACCGTTGAGAATATTCTGATATTTTCAAATCTTTTCATATTAGCGACCAACCAATCACAACCCATTTCCCTGTGAATTAGTCAACAGCTTTGTCGACCGCCTGGTGGTCGACTTACATGCACTTTTGACAACCTTTTCATCAGACCTACGTTTCGCCCTTCGTCGACCCGCAAATTTTAGGGCGGGCAAAACTTAGGTCTGTTATCAGGCTATAGGCAAGATTAGCAAGATCTCGCTGTGTAGTAGAATTTATAGTAAAAATCTCCTGTGCGTTTATATGGACAACCGGAGTGAAAATTTCCGTATATAAACACTCGCAAGCGGATGGCCCAGTTTGCCGAGATGAAACATTTTCGATAGTTTGAAATCTTTTCTGCGATTATTTTTATAGTTCTTGACATTGCATAGGTGCATAGGCATTGCATAAGCATTTGCAATGGCTTTTCAGTCAACTAGGCCCACTATAAACCAATTTGGCCCACGGTTCAAGGACCAATTCCTGCTTACCCCGCCCACTTGTAAACTGACTGATCTAACCATTAAACAAGTTAGGAGCTGCGTTCTATCTTGGCAAATTTTGAAGGAGATTTGAATGATCAGTAAGATGGTATGGGCCGAGTTGGTCAGTGGGCAGAGTTGACCAGCTTCCAATATGCTTTATAGCCCCGTAGAAATTTTTCTTAAAATATTTTAAAATTTTCCCCCCGACCTTTTTAACTTACAAATAGTCAATTACACATTTATTGGTTAGGGTTAGCGAAGGGGTTGGCGTCTGTTTATTCATAGTTTATCTTAACTATTCCGACTACAGTACAAATAGCAAATCAAACTAGGCGTACTGTTCCAGTACGAATAGCTACTGAGCTACACTTCGTTCGTATTATTATACAGGGGCGGATTTAGACCGTTGCAACTGTAGCATATGCTACGGTCAGATTTTCCATAGGCCAGTTCTAACATGGATCATAAAATCAATCTACAATATAATTTAGCAATATTTTGTTTACTTTCCTTGTTTATATTTCAAGGTTTTATTTTATTTAGTTTTATATATTCTAAAACATTTTATTTTGACAAATTGATGACATTTATAATACATAACGTTAATTGTTTTAAGAATTCCCACCCGAAAATACGGTTGTAATTGCCCGTTTGCGGGTCATTACGCAATGGACTATAGCTTAGAAAATATCATCCTTCAGAAATACACCGTAGCGTGTTGCCCATATATGATCAATTTTCGCTACGGTCAGATTCATTAAGGTCGAATCTGACCGTAGCGAAAATTGGCATATACGGCATTCTGATTGGTTTGCTACGGTCAAACGTAGCAAACCAATCGGAATGGGGCAAATGCTATAGTTTGCTACGGTGGCATGAAATTGGCTACTGCTCCAGAACGATGGAATATCTGATATTTGTGTTTGGCTCATCAACAACATGCTATTGGGAACCCACAGTACGGTTGTGCGCATTTCGAAATGAAAGCCGTCGTAAAGCTAAAGGATTTATATGCGTCGAGGTAGAAATAAAATCAGATAGCAAAACGAATCATTTCCAGTCAGGTAAGCCTTATGAATGATCAGAGATGCACATTATATTTTAATTTGAGTTTTTACTGTATAGTATTCGCTATTAACTTCGCTTTATTAAAGTGTTTGTACGCGTATGTACAGTATACCTGCATGTATTGGAATTAATACGCGAATTATGATACGCGCGTATATATATAGTGTTTTATAGCGCGCTAATATTTGTTTGTAATGCGTATATATTCGTAAGATACGCGTATTCATATCATACGCGCGTTCATATGATATGCGTATTCGTATGATACACGCGTTCGTAGATGATACGCGCATTTCGGTATTCAATTGATAATGATATGCGTATGATACGAGTATCATACCGATATCGTATGTTAAAATATACGCGAGCAATAGTTTACATTTTGAGATCATTTCGGCTTATTTTTGCTTAAGAAATGAATACAATGAGGACAAATTTAATCGTCACATGCAGTGCTTAGAACGCTGGAAATGGCATTTCCGGGGTTCAAATTTCAAAAATTTTCCGGGGGGCATGCCCCCGGACCCTCCTAGCTATGCGAGGTCTTGGAGAGTGCTACGGTCATATTTTTGGCTATATCCGCCCCTGTTATACACTAAATAAACTAATTATTAAAAGGTAAACTGACCTTTAAACTGAAGAACTTCATTGGCTTGTACACATTGGTTTCTTTGCCACATAGTTAATTTGCTGTTGCTTGTAGATGTTTTATAAACCAGTACAGCGAAGTAGCGAAATTTCGGGCCGTCTTTCACAACAAATAACATCACAATAACTGCACATCCTTTTCTCTTTAATACAGAATCGTTTTCCCTGTCCATTGAGTTATAATTTCCAAGACTAACGAGTCGCTAAAACGTAAAATTAGCGGGTATTTGTGAACAAAAATGCCCTTTGATATAACACGAGGTAACCGGCGCCATCTTGTCTTCTCCAAACATTACAGATTTTCCCGCCAAAACCCGCCCCCAAAGTCCCGTATGTACCTGACGTCACAAGTATCATGGACGGGGGGACTACCATATTTGGCGGTAAAATATTTCAAAAATACACACTAAATCTAATTTTAATCTCTTTACCTTCGCTATTTTTGCTATTTCCACGTATTGTTTGACCCAACCACGATTATAACACTGTGTAATAATAATAATGTGTTATTTATAATCTCTATGGTTGATAGACCATGCTCTTCGTTTTGGTCTTTTGAGTTCACTGAGTCAATCTCGTTCCCTGAGCCTGCGATCCTCGGGAAGGAACGCGAGGTAGCCTGCGAACAGGCCCTGGGTTACGGGCGGCCCTTTCTCCCAGTGAGCCTGTTCGCAGGCTAAACGCGAGGCTCTGGGATAATCCGTTGCCGGAAGCCAGGAATTCTGGCTAAGATTGAACTACGCATTCCATTTCAACGGCCAATCAGATTCCTCCCTGAAACGGATTATCCCAGAGCCTCGCGTTCCTTCCCGAGGATCGCAGGCTCGGGGAACGAGATTGACTTGAAGTGTGAGACTTTTTCTCAAAAGAAATGTTTTTATTGTTTTTAATTAAATGTTTTTATTGCTGTTTGAAAAAACTTAAAGTATCATTTTAATTATAAATTTAATATAAAGTTATGTTTTAAGCATACATGAAATCTGCGACAAAACTGTTCGATATCAATAATGTTTTAAATATTCTCAATTTCTCATGAAGAAAGCCGATGAAATTCAGCTGTGCCATTAGAAAAATGAGGTGGTAAAGTGGAAGCATAACACGTGTTTAATTAAATAATTTTAACGAAGATTAATTGTAATAGTTTTGTTAATTAATATTTTTAAGGTTGAATTTTTTCTGTGTTGGTGTAGTGTACTCAGGTGAATATGATATTTGTGGTGTTACTCTGAGTGTATATCCACACCGGGCGAGCTTGAAAAATATGCCCGGCCACGGTGGGATTCGAACCTACAACCTTTGGAATACTAGCCCAATGCTCTTCCAACTGAGCTACGCGGTACTCGAACCGTCCTGACCGCGTAGCTCAGTTGGAAGAGCATTGGGCTAGTATTCCAAAGGTCGTAGGTTCGAATCCCACCGTATTTTTCAAGCTCGCCCGGTGTGGATATACACTCAGAGTAACACCACAAATATTATTTTTAAGGTTATTTTTTAGGATCTAAGGAAATATTTGGATCTTTGAACTAGCGGTGATAAATTTAAATCCTGCAAGATTTATGCCCTTCCTTGCAATACTTCCTGAAACCAGCCAATAATCAGTATGGTCCATCAGGTGGACCCAACATGACTCCAGCCACAGTCACGTTTGCCGGCTCCAACACACTTATAGTCAGGGTGTGCACCCCCGGATTTACACGCAACGCTATAACATTGACAGAAGTCTGTGCCATGGCTATCTTCGCGTCAACAATTCTCCCATTTTCGAAATCATTGTCAATCCATACTTTTGCCTTTCCGCAGTAGGAACATGTCCTAGTGGCAAAAACGACAGATCGGGTGTCGGGAGCCACTCGCGGTACGGTGAATGATACAATCAATGTTGCACCCACGGTTGAGCCTACCCAACCACTGTAGGCATCGGTACGGCAAACCCGAGGCGGATCACATCGATAACCCATGCGAATCAAGGGCCAATACACAAACAACTTATTTTCAACCACTTTTATGTCTAAGTTGTTTTTTATCTTATTTTGATAATTTGGTGTAATTGTGGTCCAGCAATGTGGATTGGAAATAATTTTGTCCGCTGTCTTAATATATACAGGCTTTGGTAGAGCTTGTGCTAATGAACTATGACGCACTTTCTCCCTGTTTGTTATGATTTGTAATAGAGCTTTACGAATCATATTAATGAGCATTAGCGATACTTGCGCGTGGCCAAGCAAATTGACGTGGTCCTCATCTCGGCATAAAACATCAAGCCCAGTTGGCGGCTCACGGACATTTCCGACTGTAAGTGGACAAACGAGATCACGCCATCTGACAGATGTTATTTTGTATGCACGTGATAATGCTCTTTGGCCGTAATCGTCAAGATTTTTACAACCTGATCGGTGATAATCTCCATGGTATAAATTCACGTATATCAGCGCGGGTTGGCTCGGGTATGATAAAAGTTGCCGAGTCAGCTGTTCTAAAGCGAGGCTCCGATTAACATTGCGGAATTGAGTCCGAACATGGAGGTCATTCACAGATGACTCGAGTATCACCAAATCAGGGTTGTTCTCGACATACCCGTGGTGACAGTATTGGTAAAAATCACTACTTGTGCCACCAATACTGACAAGAGTTAGTTCTAGTTCTGAGCCAGTCAGGGGGGTGATCTCTTTAGCCCACCAATCGGTGATGACTAGAGGAAAAATTCCTTGTGCTCCCCCCGGTTCGTCTTCCTGCACACCTGCCCCTCCTGAATTGGATCCTCCAATCACGGTCAACTCTACACTCTCTCCTTTCAAAACTTTGTATAATTTTCCCACAAGCCTTTCGCTATTTGGATAGTCAATAAACTTGCTCAATTTCGACTCGTTAATTCCCAAGTCTTGTCCAGATTTAAAACGATGTTTAAGACTCCAGATTTTAGCAGGATTAACGCGCAAACGGTCAGAAAGTTTTTCTAAGGTCTTTTCCGAAAGGAGAGCATCTGAAAATATTTGACGACTAGTTGCCTCCGATTTAAAATCTGTAGAATATTTTTCCCTCGATATTTTACTTTGGGAAATTTCGACCTCACGTTTTTCAGCAGAAGTTGTATAAAAAATTAAAATGACAGGAAGTAACAGTTTTACAATATACATTGCGTTTATAATTGGCGTCGCCAAATTTTGAGTTGAGAGAATTATCATCAAACTCCACGCATCATTACGCATTTCCAATCATGATATCTTCACAAAGTACCTGTTATATAAACAGAAAAATTGAATAAATTGCGTCAGTATTACAATCAAAATCAATTGGATGCCTAATGCCGGTTTTCCACTAGCGAATTATTTCGCGCGAATCGACTTTATTCTTTTGTCTAAAACTAATTAGTTCCAGATGGTTCGAGCCGAAAGCTCAAGGACAGAAACAAATAGTCGAAATGTCTCAAAAACAAGGACAATAGAAAATAGTCGAAAAGTCGCTTCGCGCGCGAAATAATTCGCTACTGGAAAACCGGCTTTAGAGGGGTTAGGAAGTTGTTCTGAAGATTCTTGGCACATAATTCTTACCTAGCTTCCAAGTTGCTTTCTAGACTGTGTACTATAGAACGTTTTTATTTTCAATTTATTTTTGTTTGCAATTAAATTTTCTGACCAAACATTGCAAGATACGGCTGAACTGTCAATGACCTGTGACACTCCGGCTCGAGCCGCCGGTGCTGCATTGACACATAAATTAGTATCCATTATGACAACAGCGCTAAACGAGCAAATACCCTGGGTACGAGGTTGCGCTAAACTAACTACGAGCGTTTTTACGTCCGGTTTAGTAGAGCAGCAGTTTATAACGGATGATTTCGTTTTGATTTAGAGGAAGGCATAGTTTCAGGCCTGTCGCTATATTTAGCTAGTTCGTCTCGAATCGTCTGGATAGTTGAGCCGCACAAATGCGCAATTATACAAAACCGGACGGAATTTATTTTTGCGTCATTGATTTGCTAAATTCTAAATGTAGCAAAACGTTCGCGGGTTTCGAGTTCCCGTTTCGCGGGAAGTCGATCAATATTCGTACCGGATTTAAAATACGTGTGCAAACATGTGGCGAACCAATTAGATTACAGTAAGTGAGCGTGTCCCGGATGTTGTGTGTTGCTGTGCGCTTGCAATTTCTGAAATCTACATTCATGTCAATTTCATTTATGTATTTGAGGCTTACATACGGCCAAAATACACGGAAAATACTGCAGAGTTACCAAGCTATTGTTGTAGAAGAGTTTCAAATAATATCGCGTCGTTTAAAGAAGATTTTGAGCGGTCTGGTCCATTGTTAAGACTGTTAAAAGTCTCAAAATTCCATTTTGTGAGGAATTTCTGCATCTAATTTAGCGGCATGTGCTCGGCCCTGTTGAAATGTAAACTTTGCTAGTGTTTCGTGTTTTTTGCCGATCGGGGGCGGAAAGGAATTAATTTCCTTTATCTGGACTGGCTTTTGAAAGGCCAGTTGGGTTGTAAAGCAAAGGGCAAGTCCCCAGAGTGTATTTTGCCTCACAAAATGGATTTTACCAACACGATTGACGGAAAGCCAGACGAATTCCATCAATCCTTGGACCGTAAAAGGTAGGCAACGTATTGATTTTTACACGTGTGAATTTATATGTACAATATGCTGAGGAAAAATGATTCGCTTTTCGTTTTAGCATATTCATTGGCAGCTAAAGGGGGGATTTGGGACTAATTTTTAGCATATAAATCACGATTGATGATCGATTTGTACTCACATTGTTGTCTGTTTACATGGCGTGCTCGGTCCTGCATAAAATTTTGGATCATTTTTACAATTTTACAGCAAGCTGTCATGCTTTGAATAGAAATTACATACAAGTGTTGGTATATTTTAGTTTTATTTATAACGTTGGAGCTTTATTTATTCTTGCAAATCCGTGGAAAAGCTTAATTTCTGAAAACTGTTTGTTGTCTGTGGTTTTGACCCTGCAGGCTGCATAATTCAAGATGGCTGCTGTAATATTTTATGCAATTTTTGTAATAAATGGCATCTGATGCATTTGTAATTTTTAAAAGGTAAGTATGGAGCGTAGGAATTTATGATCTATGTTGAACGGATTAATTTGATTGTCCAAAGTATGTATATATGACTATTTTATCAGAATTTCATATACAGCTGCATTTTGCAGTCTGCATCATGCATGCAGGTTTTTGTATTAAAACGAAGTGGTTATTTGCGATCTGATGCTACTCTACAAACACAATTTGTCTGGCACAATCATTTTCTTTGTTTTAGTATTAAATTTCATTGTTTCCAAGCAAATCCTCTGTAGTCTAGTGGCTAAACCCGGGACATCCAGGATAGCCAGGACAACATAATTTATTAACAAATTGTATATATTGCATTTTTATGTAACTATCTTACATAAACGCAATAGTTCATACCTCCAGATACAGCTCACAAAACTAGAGCACCTTTACCTCAAATGCATCTCTCTAAAACAGTTAACTGATGAACCAACAAGAGGCAGTCAACCAGGGTGGAAAGTTTGTAGGTTGCGCTGAAGATTTTCGGCATGGAAAATTCACAAATTTGCTCCATTTTGGCACAGAATTATGGGAAATGAACTGGTATGGTGCACTAGCAATGTTCTCAAGCATTTCTGTTTGTATTTCAGCCATGTAATAACGGTAATTTGATTGAGCACTGACTGTGAATACGTTTAAAACGGGATTTGTGCAGCCACTGGTGCATGTTACTGAACCTTGATCAAATCTTCAGCGCACAAAAAACAAACTTTCCACCCTGGGCAGTCAAGACTTTGTGTTTACCAACTTGCTTTTACGTGAATGAGGTCCTTGCCGTCCCAATCACCTCCATACTCAGTGGATTCATCAAGTAGAATTGTCGGAGTCTGTTTGGTTGAAAATGGAAATAAAGTGTTAAAAATCCCATTCGTCCATACCTCTCAACAAGCCAACATTCCATCGAGAATGGGACTTGTCTCGTGCTAGCCACTAGAGTTTTATATGTCATGTTTAGGCTAGACTTTTTGCACAATTTCATCAGAAAACCATGAAAATTATATTTCTCCCGGGACACTGGGACAAGTTAGTCTGAACTTGGACACATGAAGTGGGAAACAGGGAACCAGGGCAGTGTTTGCTGTGAATGTGTGGCCTGATCAGGTTGGATGAGGACTGGTCAAGTTAGGGTAGAGGTTGTTAGAGTACAGGCAAGGTTCAGGTTTTATTGTTGGAAATGACCAATGGCTATTTGAGTATTGAAGAAGGGCTATGGTGGAGCAGTCGTCAGAGCAAGTACCTTGCAACAATCAGACTAGGAATAAAGGAATACCGAATGGTTTTCCGTGCAGGATTGTGTGATCCATGCACGAAGGATGTCGCGAGACTTTCGGAAAGCGTAAAAATACTCGAGCCGCAGGCGAGTGTATTTTTACGCTTTCTGAAAGTCGAGCAACATCCCCAGTGCATGGATCACGCTATCCTGCTTGGAAAACCATTTGGTAATTGTTTTATAAAATAACTACAGTGAAACAATGACATTTTGAGAATCCCGCGAAAATCCTGCGAAGGCATTTTAATTCCTTGTGCAGGATAGCCTGATCCTGCACGGCTATTGACCAATCAAATTGCGTGTTTCACTGTAGTTATTATATAATGTTTGTTCCTGAGAGTAATGTCCATTTTTCTTTCATTTATGTCCAAAAGTGAGACAGATAGTGAACGTAGCGATCATGACGATGTTGCATCTTCGATATCGGAAGAACGTTATCCAGCATTTGAAACACTGTATGAGAATATATACCTTGGGAACAAGTAAGTGGTTTTCTAAGGAACTATTTTACTAGCTTTATGCTGATGACTTATGTTGATCATGTTTAATTAATTAACTAGCCTTGTGTTGCAACCCTCGCAATTCAACTATTTTTGCCTCTGCAAATAATTGCCGAAAAGTTGACGGTAATCACGCGACGGTCTAAAAGATAAAACAAAGTTTCTCGACGTGCCGTCTTTAAAGATTGTTCTTTATTTCAGCCGAAGCTGACACTGAAAAGCTCAAATTTAGGTATTTTGTAAAGTAGCTATGAGTGAAATCTTCTGTTGTTCACCTGACTTCGATGATAACAATTCGAACAAAGAAAACAAGTAATGCAAAAACGAACACTGTAGTTTGTAAATTTAAGCAAAAAAATGAACAGACGCTGTAGTTTGTAATTTAAGGTACAACGGGTGGAATTGCCTCGGCATTTTTTTGCCGAGGCAAACTATGAAAAATCGTAACTTGCCTCGGCATTTGCGTCGGCAATTGCCTAGTGCCGAGGCGAATTTCGAGGGTTGTGTTGACGACCGAGCTTGTTGAAGTTGCAAACATTGAAGTTTCATAAGAGAAATGACAATCTGTGACTATTTTGTCATTGTTAATATTTGTGTGCATCTTCTATAGAAAGAAGAGAGTCAACAAGGAAATCCGTAGGATGTCATGCGACTGCTCTTATTGTCCAGGTATCAATCCATGTACACTCTGGGCTCTTCTTAACTTGTTAAGATGTTACGCGAGAACTCGTTAATGGTTAATTACATATTTTATTATATTTAGATGAGAATGATTTTGTTGGATGTGGTGATGATTGTCTAAATAGACTTCTTATGATTGAATGGTACTGTATGATAAATATTGACGAGGAATTTCACCAAAATCAAATTTCACATTTTGGATGAATTTTACATTTTAGCAACAACAGATGTCCTTGTGGAGAATTTTGTTCCAACAGAAAATTCCAAGATGGACAAAAAATTCATGTTGAAGCATTTAGGACAGACAAGAAAGGATGGGGATTGCGGACATTGGAAGATATTTCAGCGTGAGTGCTTTATTTATAGTTCTATCAGTTCTAAACTGTCCCTCCCTTATTAGTATGTTGTTAAGGAGGAACCATCGAAAAACTTAGAGAAAACCTGCAATGTTTGGTAGAGTCAAACTGGAAGACGACTTCTCGCATATGACTGAGGCACAGAATAGGAACCATACAGAAGGTCGACTTCTCGATTTTGGCATAACCATTGCAATGCTGTTGTCATGGTCCTAATTTAAAATGGTGGATGTTCAGGGGGGTGATGGCCTCTCATAACTGCACTGGCTAGGAACATGGTGATAGTATTTCGATGTCAAATCATTGCAAACCATGGCATGGTAGTGGTTACACTTTTTTGGCGAAGTTGACCTTCTGTTTGTCTCTATTCTGTGACCGAGGTGAAATTATAATAAGACAACTGTATATTGCAGGAATCATATTGTAACTACCAAAACCTTTATCATTTGCTTGTCAAAATGTGAGGCTATGCGTTCCAGTCACTGTCGGTTTTATCATGATAGGAATCAATTTGTGATGGAGTACAGTGGAGAGGTCATGGGTTATGAAGAGTTTGAGAAACGTGTTGAGATGTATGACAGAGAGAACAGACGTCATTATTATTTCATGACACTGAGAGCGGACGAGGTAAGCTTGTGTTTGGGAGTGCTGGCGCTCAATAAGTCAATCAGTTGTTTGGTTGGTCTATCACCTTTTAAGACCGGGAATCAGCAAGTGAACATTCTTTGTCTTACAGATTATTGATGCAACATACAAGGGAAACTTATCTAGATTTATTAACCACAGCTGTGACCCAAACTGTGAAACACAAAAGGTAAAGTAGGACAGCCTTTTTGAATAAATCTTACAGTCTTGCAGTGTCTTGCAGGAATATGTACAGTATAAGCATGTTATATAGCTCCATTTACACTTCTAATTTGTGCATAGATTTTACATGCGATTGTATGGATGAATTATGAGTGTTCAGATGATGTACATATACCCAGAATATTCATAACTCATCTACTTGTTCACATGCATCAGAACAAGAAAACACACTGAGATCACAGCAAAAAATTGCAAGTGTAATTTATGATATTAAACTGCAATTTATTCTTTTGCAGTGGACGGTGAATGGATATTTAAGGATAGGTTTCTTTTCTGTGAAAGACATCCCAGCTGGCATGGAGCTGACATTTGATTACAAGTTTCAACGATATGGGTACATATGGTTTAATTTATTTCCTGTTAATACTTGTAGTTGACTCCTCCTGAATTTGCATGAGTGAACATGAACGTTCAAAAGCGAATGATTTTTTCCCCAACTGGGGCCGGTTGTTCAAATTTGGGTTAGCGCTAATCCTGGGTTAAAATTTAACCTGCTATTTTAGTTTGTGTATTTCTGCACGTCTGTTTATTTCAAAATTTCAGAGAAGTCAACTCCTATCGATCCAGACAAGATCTCTGAAGAAATATTTCCAAATTTATAGACAAGCTGTCAGGAAGTTTGCTTTGAATTTTAAGTTAACCTAGGGTTAAGCTAACGACCGGCCCCTGGATACTAAGAAAATTTCAAACATTAGGAAAACGTTAAGCACCTCTGACAGTTTCCTGATAGCTTTTGAGTACTGTGAGTTTGCCACCCAAGTCTTTCCTTGTATCATGTGCATTTTTGTGTATTAATGAATTGTCTAGTTGTTGACTGTTGAATCTCCTGTTGTTATTGTAATTTGTAATTAGAGTGAGAGTTATGGAAACTTATTTGGATGGGATGAGGGTATAATGCTTATGGTACCCAGGGTTGCCAGGTCTCAGGGCATGCTCGGAGCCAAACACTGTATAAAATGAGGCCAAATTTTACCAAAAGAGGCCAAACTACTAATTTTTCAAAAAGCCTAAATGCAACCTCGGCCCAGGGCCTTCCTCGCCCTAATGAGGAAGGCCCTGGGGACGAGGTTGGTTAAAATGAAAGTATGAAACGAAATTGAGCTTTAGCCAGTTACGTAGGATTTCATTTATACAAAAATATTCGTGAGGCGGACGTCTGCGAAAACAGTACCAATTAAGCTTGATCCTATATATTATGATTGGCTATTTTTATACACTTACAATTGGCTGAATTTTGTGAACTGTGATTGGACGAAACAAGCAGCTAAGTTATCCGCATAATGTAGGATGGTTGCTCCGAGAAGTGATAGACAAAATTTTGTTTCGTTTTGGCCTGTTTCTCATGATTAATTTAGTATTACACATGAAATTAAAAATAGCTCTTGAAAATAAAAAGAGGCCAAAAAGAAGCCAAATGGCCAAATTTATTTTTCGAGGCCAAGCAAGAAAAAAAAGAAGCCAAATTCGAGTTATTTGGCCTCCAAGAGGCCAATCTGGCAACCCTGATGGTACCCAGTATCCAGAAGTGGGATGCTGGATTCTCAGGGGGATACTAAACATTGAATCCTGGTTTCCGAGTTGGATACTGAGAAAAAATTTAAATTTCAGACCCTTTATATGAATATTATTTCCCTGCAGAAAGAAAGCTCAAGCATGCTATTGTGAGTCTCAAAATTGTCGTGGAATTATCGGAGGAGAGAAACATACTCCACTCAAGTCCATAATCTCTGGTAGACCGGGTAGGTGAAATTTTCAACGCTCAATTTACATGAGATCGTAAAACTGAGAGCTTATGTTAATCCTCTCTAGCTTCGCCCGCCCCTGCCAACTCACCAAGAAGAAATCGAAGAAGGCGATTGGCTGAGCAGTTTGATGATAAACCAGTAAGATTCAGTTATTTTTATACTGCCATTTTACAAGTTATATACCTACAACACCCATTTTCTATTTTGTTTTCCAACTCAAAGACTTGATTCTGAAACCATGTAAGACTACATTCAAATGTAAGACTACATTCAAATGTAAGACCCATACCGGGTTTTACATTTTGAATTCATTTTCAATTCCTCTCAAGGACAATAGCAAATGGGTCCTGTGTGATAGGCATATAAATACCTCCCATTTGGTTTTTGCCCTATATATATATATATATATTGGTGGGTTTCAGCATTACCACAGCAGATAGTGTCCACTTCAGAAATGTTGACATTTATGGGAACAAGCAAGTAAATCTCTTAATTCTATTTCTTCCCTCTATACACAAGACTACTACACATAATGAAAAGATTATTCTCCCACTGATAGCTGCTAGTTGACCACTATCTGTTGTGCGATGGTGCCTTGAGTGAAACGCAGCTCTTCTAATATTTTGTGTTTTTTCTTGCATAATTCTAGCTGGAAATTGAGATAGCTCAATTACTTGCCGGTGACAAGGGAATAAAAACAGACGACCAAGCGCTCAAACTTTCGCAATTCATGGTCCGAGCAGAAACGACATCTCAACGACTCTTACTGCTGGATGCACTCGCGGTAAAGTCTTAATTTAAGTTTGTTAACTCGCTTCAAATGACAAAATATTCCTTTCAGTGAACCTTTCTTTATTTTGTTGTAAACAGACGAAATATTCGAGTATAAAAACTAATCATATGACAGTTCTAGATCTTTACATAACACTTAGAATATAAAATTAGTGCCATAATATAGTCGCGACCAAGTGATCAGAATGTCCGAATGTCTTCTCATTGTTTTGAAATCCAGTGTCATCCAATGTTTTGAATATTTTTATCATTTATGCAAATATCTATTGTTGCTATAAGGTTAAGCGTGAATGGTAATTGAAAGGTGACTGGTTTATTGTACTTAAATATTATTTGTTTATAAGTCTTGCATGAAGCTAAAATATTTCCAAGCCACGAGTCACTGGTTGACATAGAGAACAGTAGGATTTTCAAAACAATGAAAAGACTATGAGACTAATTGCATAACAATAGCTTGTTATGGTAAATTTATGCTAAGTTATTTTGAATACTTTTAAGTACTGTATAAAAGGCCATATAATAAACAGAGCGATGCCATTTCTTGTTCATATTTAGGCTACGGTAGATCAAAACTGTTTGCGGAATTTTGTGAAATATCAAGGCTTATCACTTCTCTGGAGTTGGATGGTTGATCTCGGAGAAAATTCGTTACATCTTCAGAAGACGGTTCGTATCTCCGTGCAAAGAAATTTTGAAACGACATGCAGTGAAAATGTTGTCAACCTTAGATTAGGCTGCATGTATCTCTCATGTCTGTAACCGAGCTTCGATTCCCGCAATATACAGTTGTTTGATTATAAGTCGCAGGGTACATTTCTACCCGACACCGTGGGTTTATTCTTGGGTTTATTCTTGATATACTTCGGGTTTCTCCTGTAGAGTAACACGGGAACCGATAGAGCTGACTAGTATAAGAAAGTTTGTTTATTTTAAGGCCCTGTCACACTATTGCATATCGTACTAGCGTAAAGGTTGTATACGTTTCACGTATTCGGACGTATGGTTTATACTAGCGTAAAGGTTGTATACGTTTCACGTATTCGGACGTATGGTTTATACGATAAGCATAATCTAGACACACGTTGAATACGCTAGAGGTACGCCAGATGTACGGTACTCATACGCTGGCATTTCAAAGGATTTTTGTGCGTATGAAAATTATTTCATTAATTTTTATACGCTTCTCTCATACGCACTAGTGTGACAGGGCCTTTAGATATGGCATGTGGCCTAGTAAAGTATGGTCCTTACTGAATCTCTAGGAAGAACTGTATAGAACTGGCTGAGCTGTTCAGTATAAATAATGTTCAGTTTTAAGATCATTCAATGTTACAACTTATGAATAACTACTTTACTATATATAGATCGTTCAAGTGCTGAAACATTTGCCAGTTGCGAACTTGAACCAAATCAAAGACACGAAGGTGCTCAAAGTTATCAGCAAATGGGCCAAGAAGCCTTCGGTGTCGTGCGGGCCCGAGGAAGAAACGAGTTCTAGCGACGTCGATTCACGAGGACTTAGCCCACCGGACGCCTTAGACGATGCATCGAGGCGGGAACTTCACATCAGCTCGAGTTCGGACGAGTTACAAAACTCCTCGAAAAGCATCGAAACGCAAAAACTCACGGAGAATGACGGCTCAAAATCTGAAGTTGAATGTAGGGCAGTCAATCAAAGCGAAAAGATCACAGAATCCTCACCAATGGAGGACAGTGTTTTCGAACCTGGGGAAATACGATCTGACGAGGAACTAAAACCCGAGGGTGATAACCCCGAGGGTCTTAAGTCGGAGGGGCTAAACGCCGAGGGGCAAAAACCCGAGGGAGTTAAATCGGAGGAGCAAAAATCCGAGGGTCTAAAACCCGATCGGGTAAAAAGTTCTCGTCGGGATAAGCGTAGTATATACAGTAGGATAGTTGAGAGAATTGGGGATTCGTCAGAAGAAGAGTCATCAAGATGGTCGGAAGACGATACGACATCCAGTGATAGCGAATCTATTGTTGATCTAGCTGCTGATTTGTTGGACCAGTGGAGCAGTTTAAAGGTAATGTATCTGCGGCTTATTAATGGTGGTTTATACGAGAGATGGATGATCTGACTGCACAGCAAAAAAAGATGTCTGAGAATTACTTGTTTATAAACACAGCAAACTGTCAGGGGGCGGATGTATGAAGGCCAGATAGAGCTATCCCCCCAATTGTGTTTTTTCAGGCTTTCTGAAATTACCCGTTGATTTTTGTAACCCAGATTAAACGTAAGTATTTAACAATTGAAGTTCCTTTCTTTTAATTGTGAAGTCCATTTTTGCCGTTTTACAACGTTTCAAGCAATTATATAGTGGTGGAAAAATCACTCCAGTGGATAGCGGCCTTCGTATAACCGCAATAAAATTGTTAACTCGCTTGACTTATAATTTTGGATATTTTATTTCTTCGTGTATTTAGGAAGTGTATCGAATTCCGAAAAAGTCCACGAACGTGGTGAGTATTTCAGTCCTGAAATGACAATACTTGTTTACTGTATTGTTGTAACAGTCCGGGTGTAGGTTTAAAAATATTGTGTATTATTTCAGGTACAGCGTGAACCCGAATCTACTTCAGGAACGTCAGAAGGTAATACAGTATTCATTTGCGTTATCATTATGATGGACCCGCTGAGATAGACATTGTTTTATTTTTCATGTTATAGTTATACTTCATGTATTTACTGTATATGTTCTTTCACATAGGGACAGCATCAGATTCAAATCATAATGTCAGGTTCGTATATTAAATGTACTACAGATTTCTAATATTTATTTATCCATCTAACATAATCTGAATAATTTAACCATCAAGTCCGTGTTTAACTTAACTAGGCAATAGGTTATAGAGATGTATAATTTGCCTGCGTGTACAAGTGTCACGTGGTTTATACTAAAACCAACCAATTGCATCATTCCAATCTTTCCTAGAACGGAGAGAAACGCTCCAGTTATTCCAAAAATCGAAGAAGATCTTTTCAAAAAAGACGAATTCCTTTCGAAACTTGGCGAACGCGACTTTCACAATCCCAAATCATCTCAGCGCAACACACCACCTACGTCGAGCGATATTCCATCTCTCATGGCTGCTGGCTACGCCGAGTCCAGTGAAGGCGCCCATGATCTAAGCAGAATGCCAATTCATCAACGCTTACAGAATGTGGCTAATACGACCAGTGAAGAGAAGTTTGCAGGGTGGCATGCCAAGGCTGCTGCTAGGAGGGGTGGTCGTAAGGGGCCTTACCCTACCCCTAGAGGCCCACAACCAGATTGGCCAATTCATCAAACACCATCGCAATTTAACCCACCTACCACAAACCCTTCTAACCATCCTGGTATGCCCAGACCAAACATGCCGAACAATCAATGGCACCAGCAAGAACCACCATCCCATAATCCTTATCCTAACCCTTCACATGGCCCTCAGGGCGGGGTGCAACCATCTGCTCCACCTCAGTACCCTCCAGGAAATCAAAACCCTGCACAACCAGGCCAACCACCCTACTTTCAACCGTCTGAGCAATCCAAGCCTGAACAGCAAACTGGATATCAAACAACATGGAATTCAAATCCAACGTTTGGGCAAGAGCAGGGGGCTGGTCACATGCCACAGGGTGCAAGTCACATGACACAGGGTGCCAGTCATATGCCACATGGCTATGGTCAGTTGCCACCACCTCCACCCCAACATGGCCAGGTTACTCAGGGGCAATTTCCCCCCGGACATCAAGTTCCACCCAACCAAGGACATCAATACACTCCTGGCTATACAAACCAGACCACACCATTTGGTTATCAACAATCAGCCAATCAAAACCAACCATACTCTCAATCGGTCTTCAACCCATTCATACAAAACCAAAATAACCCTCCGTCACACCAATTTCCCCCGAATTATCCACCTCCGTTCTCCACAAACCCTGCAACGTACTCTCTTACACCTTCAGCATCAAATGTACCGCCTACCTATTCAGTGAATACAACCCAACCACCACACTTTGCCCCAAGAGAACAAACTCCGGGCTCTAATGTATCTATGGTGAGCTCTACAGTAGGGGGGTCTGAATTGATGAATCTGGTAGATCCCGGTAAGTTGGAGTGGTCAGGGGAGACGTATAATAAAGCACAAGATGTTCCTTTACCGTCCGACTGGAAGAAAGCTTACGATGGAGAAGGCCGAGCTTATTATTATCACGTTGTCACAAGGTTAGTGAAATTATTGTTTATTGAGTTTCTCGTCACTCAGCAAGAACCGTAAACAGAAGTAGTCACCCCCTGGAAATATTCAAAATGGCGCACGTCCAGGGGGGTGACTGCTTTTGTTTACGGTACTTGCCGAGTGACGAATCATGACGAATAGCGCTTACGCAAAAAAAACAATGGAGATGGCCTTCTGTACAGTCTTCTGTGTCATTGGTGAGCGGATTTCCCAACAGGCTTATTGCCCAATTGACAGGGGATCCGAGGTACCTACGATTTAACGTTCTTATCCGAGAAGACGCGAAAGTCTAACCATTTACTGATGTCAATGTAAAGGTAGCTCCGAGTCTCCTCAATTATTTTGAGACCTTGAGTAGAGGTCCGAGCAAGGATTGAACCCAGGTCTTGGGCTTGAAAGGCAAGCGTGTGTTGACCACGACATCACTGATTTCTATTCCAGGCAAACACAGTGGGAACCTCCGGTTGCTGATCGCAGTCCACCTACGCCAGAGCTTGGTTACCTTGGTGATGAACTAGATTCAAGTATGGATCCCAGTCTCTTTTCATCACACATTTCTCAGGATGTCACGATGGTAGGTGAAAATATGTTTTCCACTGTTTCCTGGTTTGGCCACTTTCGGGAAACATGCATAGTAGACAATGTACTGTACGTTTCCTTGTTTGCTCATCTTTTGGAAACATGGCATGCAAACAATAGGTTTCCTCCTGTACTTAACTCGTATTCACGTGGCCAGGCATATTTTTCACGCTTGCCCGGTGTGATATACACTGATAATCACCTGAGTACATTGCACCAACACAGAAAATCGTATTCAACTGTTGTTTATTTGTTAGGAGGTTGTTGATTCTACAAAGCAGCGAAAGAAACCCAGAACGCCATCCACACCGCCAGGTTCGCCTCCGAAAAGCCCTGTAAGCAAGTACACAACGGCAGCAGCCGATACTACGGATATCAGGAAGGGTGCTTACTCTCCTTCATCGTTATTGCAAGGACAACATCTCACACCAGAACAACGAAAACGTCGAGAAACGTTCAGAATGAAGGTTAGTGGTTTGGCCAAGCTTCGGTGGGAAGTGCGATCAAATGCTCTTTATACCCATTAAGGCCGACTTACACTACAAGTTTTGTCTAAAACCTTTTGGGGTTTCTTTTGGGGTTTGTTTTGAGTTTGTTTTGAGGTTGTTTTGAGATTGTTTTGGTGGTGTTTTGAATTTTTTGGGGGGTTGTTTTGAATTTTTTTAGGGGTTGTTTTGGATTTGTTTGGGGTTGTTAAAGTTTGCAAAAACTTGTTTGCAGACTTGTAACGACTTGTGCGGTTTTATGTATGTACTGTATGTATGTGAATTTTGCGCTTGCTTTACATGATAATTTCTATTTGTTTACATATTTAGCTTTCAGCTGTGGTCGTCAACTATCTCAATCCTTATCACAAGCTCGATTGTAAAATTGGAAGAATTACGTCGGTACCTGATTTCAAATTTCTAGCCCGGAAAGTAAGTTCGTTTTGCTCCATATATTAGCACAATGCTAAATGCCTGCCCCATTCACTTCTCTAACTGAGAGTCCTGCAATATGTACAGTCTGCTTTTGCATCAGTCACATTGGAATAGAACTTCCAGTTCGACTGTTGCGAATATCGCAGGCAGAATCAGACCAACAAGTGACAACATTTACTGGACCTCTAGGGAGAACAGTGTAGAACTGATAGAGCTATCCAGTGTATATTAATAAAGTTACTTTAGTTGAAGATTGTTTACATTTTGAACTGCTATACAGTATTTGTAAAATAAGACATACTAACTGAATATCTAACACTTTTCTGTTTCGCAATTGTAAATGAATATAAACTAGAGTACGTTTCAATTCAAAAAAGTTCGAAAGATGCAAAATTTGGGCAATGTTTATATCTGTGGGGCCCCTTTGTTATGAGCAGAATTGATGCGCAGAACGGACTGGACATGAACCAATAAAGGATGAATCTTTCTGGACCTCTAGCAAGAACAGTTTAGAAATGATAAAGCGATCTCTCGTACAAATAAAGTTAGTTTAAAATATTTTTTTTAACTCTAGTTAACTCATGGTGTTATGGTGAAAGAATTAAGTCGCATTAAAGACGAAAGTCAGTTAGCTTGCAACGACTCCGTGAAAATTAAAACTAAAGAATATATACGTAATTATATGCAGAAGTTTGGCCCGGTGTACAAGGCTTCATGACACCTTTTAGAATGTACCATATTATTTATTTATTTTATATTGATTTTAAATTGTATATGTCGCGAAGCATTTGGTTTTGATGTGTAAATAATGTTCTATTGTAAAATGACTAGACGTGTAGAAAATTGTACATTAAATATTGTTTGGATGTGTTCTTATTGTATTAATAAAGATGTATAGACATTTTACACATTTGATACAAGTCCTGTCAGTTTTTCAGGCCGCAGTTGTGTGAGCTTGCGTACCTATTTTTTTGCAAGATCCAGTGATTCCAACCCGCATATGATCCCAACCTGCCATACCCAAAAATCGGGCTGAGTATAAAATCTTTGTAATACCAAGCAAGTATTTATATTTGTAAATTTATTTATTTATTTATTGTAATTTTTTGAAATACGATATTTCTAGGAAGGATGTCTACTGTTGGATAAGTCCGCAATTCGAAATATATGAAACATATTTTTGGTATGGTATTTTTAAATATTGAAATTGAAAATGTCACAACCCAACAACAGATCAAGGTTTGAATCTCTTTAAAAGTATTGGTACCTTCTTGTACTAGTCACCGAAATCCTAATCCTTGTATACTGACATTTGTCTAATGGAAGGAAGCCAGTATGTTATTGATATTTATATGAATAAAACTTTCTGATGCAAACTGCAAAATAAAACGTACCATACGTTCTCATGGTGGAATTCAGTTTGTTGGTGTTGTCTGCACCTGCAAAGGTGATTTTGCATGGTGAACATTCTGTGGTGTATGGCAAGGTAAGGTTGTGATAGAGATGGATCACCCATCATATGTATTTATCCTTGTTTACAAATGTCACAATTATTTTTAGGTTTCTCTTGCAGCAAGTGTTGATCTGAGGACAACCTTGACCTGGGAGACGCTAACTAATGACACAGTGGAACTACATTTGCATGATCTTGGATTTTCCACGTCATGGACAACCAAACAAATCAAGGCAGTTCAGCTTTCCCCAAGTGGTTGGTGTAAAATTGGATCAATGAATGGGTTGTTCCAATTGAAATGAATATAGAACTGGAACACTATCTCCAACCAGAAATTTGAAGCCAAACTTGAAGGCCATTCCCAGTCTTTTCACGCATTGGTAGAGCGCTCAATTGATCAATCATGATATAGATCATGCTCAATTGATCAATCATGATAAAAATCATGCTCAATTGGTCAATCATGATATAAATTGTGTTCAATCGGTCAATTATGATATAAATAGCATTCCAGTTATATTAATTTCAATAGTCGTTCCAGAGATCACCCCCCCCCCCCCCCCCTTAAGGAAATTCTGCCTTCCGGAAGGGAAGGGGAGAAAAATTTGTTTCTGATAATAGTAAGTGTATTATAGGACATCCAAGGGGGGGGGGGGGGGTTAACTTCCAATTTCCAGGTATGGCTGTCTTCTGGAATGAGCATTAAATCTCTTCAGATCAATGTCATGTGACTGATTGACTGACCATTTATTGGACTGACTGTCAGAATCACCAACCAAATTAATCACTGTGCATCTTGTGACCAACACATGGCAGGCTGATCTATACTATAATTTTGTTTTTTTAACCCAGTTGATATTGATGCTTTCAAAATATTTCTTGGTACTCAAGATGTATCAGACGTTGCTGTCACAGCTGCTTGGGCATTTGTTTATCTCTATCGGTCTATTTATGGTGAGAGGTACGTGTGATGCCTTGTGATTCCTAATTTGCAAAACATAATGACAAATTGCACAAATAACAAACTGGTTATCTGTCCAATGTATTAAAATTGCACAGTCTATACCTTCTACTAGCAACAATCCCCTTTTGTAGCTGGAAATATTAGTTCTTTAAACTTTTTCTCCTTAAATTTCATTCAATATAAAGCTTAACTATCATTTGAAGGCTTTCAGAAATCTGGGGGTTGCCCCCCCCTGATGCCCCTAGTGCCACTACATATGAAATAGGTGCACCCCTAGTGCCACTACATATGAAGTAGGTGCATTAGGACAGTTTGCAACTTAACTTAATGGTTTAAAAGTAGTTGTAATTTTTAATTTTTTTTTTAAATATTTTCATAGTTTGGTTCCTGGGAAATTTACATTAAAATCTGACATTCCAGTTGGGGCTGGTCTGGGATCATCTGCCTCGTACTGCACAGTACTGGCAACATCAATGCTGATCACCTCGGGGGTGTTTGAACCTGAGGCCATTGCTAGGTCAGAGGCACAGTCTAATGAAAGCAAAATGTCGAGAGATGAATGTCTCAGAATGATCAGTAACTGGGCGTATGAAGCTGAAACAATTATTCATGGAAAACCATCAGGGATTGATAACACTGTCAGTACGTTTGGTGAGTACATTTAGAGTACATGGTTTGTGGCTGCACTACCTGAAAAAGAACAAAAGCATGTGACATGTTGACAGACGTGTTTCATTTGGAGGGCAGTGTTTCCTGCATCAGTAACGATCGATGGGAAATTCACATAGTTCAGATACGAACCACAGCAGCTTTGTTTGAAAATATTGAACCCTAGTATTGATATCAAAATGCTGTCCCAGTTCTCTTTATAAAACCCATCAAACCACAATATCATTAAAGGAAACTCCACCCTATCAATGAACATCTTATTATAGGTGGATTTTTGCAATTCCAAGCTGGACAACTGGAAAATATTAAAAGGTCGGGATTTGAGTTGTTATGAATCAAGCAAACAGCACAATATATGAGATATTTACTAATGGAAAATGACGTATTCCTATTTCAATTTAGTGTTCCTGAGTTAAACATATTTCTTATCAACACCAATGTTCCACGAAGTACCAAGACAATGGTTGCTGGCTTGAGATGCAGATATGAAGAGGTACAGATTAGATACATACAGAGCTGGAACTGGCCGTCGTAAAGACTGCGGAAACTTATGTTTTCATGTACCCACTTTTTCAGGCGACCATGATCAACTGTGCATGCTCGGCAAGTTCCGCAAGCAGTTAAAGTGAGCCACCATCCAATGGATGCATGCATCTAGTAACTTGCTGAGCACATGCACAAAAAAGTGGGTACACTAGTTATAACTCTGGTATATGTATCTACTCTGTGGCACTGGGTTGAGGTGTGTGTCGTTGTATGTGGCCAAGCCAGGAATCAACAAAGTACAAACTAGGTTTTCACAAATTATTATTAAATATTTTGCTAGATGCCAAAGGTGTATGATCATCTGTTCAGTGCTATCAACGAGATTTCGGTTGAATGTAGACAAATTTTGGAACATCTAGGTGAACAGGACGCTACCAAAATAAAAGGTAATCATGTATTAATTTTGCATTTTGGTTACGCATGATTCCGTTCAGTCATTACGTTTTTAGTCTACTATTCTTGCTTATTGTTTATTGTCAGACCTCAAAGAAGACAGTGATGAATTTCTTAGACTTGAGGTAATTAAATCCAAGTTTAATTTGTTTCAAATTTCCCCTCAATGTGAAACTAATCACTTTCCACTTCGTTTAGAAATTGATAGATTTAAACCAGGACATTCTGCGCACGGTTGGTGTGAGTCATTCGACAATTGATAAAGTTTGCGAGACAACCATGACTTATGGATTTCACTCAAAGTTGACTGGAGCTGGAGGCGGAGGCTGTGTTATCACTTTATTGAAACAAGGTATGGTATAACTATAAGTCTGGGTAAGTTTAAAACTACAGGACGGAATGAATTTTGAAACCGCACACAAATTTAGACGATTTCGGCTCGTGCGATACAAGTCGTGTGTCGTGAACTATAAAATCGTGGGTAAAGTCGTGGCTCGTAAAATGATGCGCTAAAATCGCGAAAGTTAACCAAAAGTTAACCATAAGTTAACTATAAATGGGGGTGGAAGTTTGTGGTCATTCGATAAAAGGCAAACATTTTATCTCAGCGTTTGTAGTTATTCGATTGAATTGAACCGGCTATGACCATTTTGAATTTTGCGATAGAATAGTACGGTAAAAAAAGTTTTGGCCTTTGGGCCATTTGCCAATCGAGCTTGATGCCATAGGAAGACATTCTCTCATAAACAAAAGCTTCGGATATGTGCATCTACGTCGATTCCGACAGAAGTCGAGGAAGAGTTTACCCTGGGCCTGGATCAGGCTGAACCTTCAGCCTCCACAGAAGGAAACCGGAAGGTCCCGGAGAAGACTCGCTGTGTTTTATAGAGTCAAACTGGAAACACACTTCTCACCGACATGCAACTGGGCATCAACTATTTCGCTGACCTCAGAATGACATTTCGTCAAAGCTTTTTTCTTCAAGATTGGTTTAGAAACAAATTTGGAGTAGGGTTAGGTTAGGGTAAGGGTTATGGTTAGAGTTGGTGTTTGGAGTAGGGTTAGTGTTAGTAAAACCGTTGCTTTGTTACGTTTTGTCACTTTGAGGCCAGCGAAATAATCTCTTCCATGCAACTGGGTTGAAAAACTCGAACCACGAAGAGTCTTCTTCGAAACTCCGAAGTGTTTTCAATTTTCTTCAAGTATTTCAGACATAAACCGTGCCGGGTTTTAATTTTTAATTGTCCTTCACCTTTTTGCTCTCTATTTTGAAGATGTGAAGTCAGAAACCGTGGACAAGCTAAGCAAGGAATTAAAGGAGCTTGGATGTGATTGTTGGAGAACAAAATTGGGAGGAGAGGGAGTCGCGGTACACAACTGGACCAGTAGATAAAAACTATGAAACAATCTTAGATTCTATAAACAACACTAAAATAAGATATACCGTATAAACAACTTTATTTATACTAGATTATTCTATGATCGGAAATTATATCATTTCTCCTTATATATTCATGGACTTCATGCGAGAAGACTGTGAAGACTATATAGTCATGACTACTAAGACTATTATCATGACTATTACGATGCGCGAAGACTGTTATTAAAGAGTGCTTCCAGTTGACGACCAAACATCACAGGTTTTTATCGAGTACCACAATGTTTGTTTTTCATTATTGATAATGTCAATACATTGTCCAACTGTCTATATGTTTCAGTTTCTGAGTGCTAACCCCATTATGCTAAAAATGCAATTAAAAAGATACGAACGGCATCTTGTATTGAACCGTTCATTGTAGTTTCCAAGATTCAAGAACAGTCTAGGTAAATTCCAGATTGCTTTCCTGGCTATAGAGGAAAGACCCTTAGTTGTGTGCGTGTGTGTTCTATGAGTGTGAAAACAGACGTGATCATTTGATGTTTTCAAATGTAATTAATAATTAATTGTAACTGCCTTCGACGCTATTCATTATACATGATCGTTTAGGGATTTTTGCTTCGTTAATATTCTATTCTCTGCTTCTACACGGCTGTGAAAGCCTTGCATTTTTTCTAAAAACAACCGTTTTGATCGAAGCGAGTTTGTGACATATGGTGTTCGTCATACGTACATAAAAGATCTCGTTATCTAGACTCGGTAGATCCATCTAGACACTTCGCGTCTCGCTGTTTCTCGTTTAATTTACAACATTCGGGTTTCATATTACAGCTTTTGGTGTGTACTAACTCGGCCAGTTTCATTTAGTGTGGAAAAATTTAACCGTTTTGTTTGAAAACAATAGGAACATTGCCAACACCTAAACTCATCAGAAGGCAAAGTGCGCTGCTGAAGTGCTGGTCTTCACAAAAGTGGAACGAATCCTAAATCTTTTCAGAAAGCTTGGATATAGTTGCAATAATTATGCTGTCTGTTGAAAGCGCTCCAAGATCAAACGGCAAACATGTTTCATTTGCAATAGACGGTCATGGCTCGTCAGTTGAAAATAATGTTTATACAGAGGTGAGTAACAGCTTTCTTAAAACAAGTAATTTCTCTGTTCTGAAGAATCACTCAGTTCTGTCAGAAATTATATGTTGCGGGACTCGTTATGTACGAAGACAGTTTCAAGTTTCAAAACCGTTGAAAGACCTTGAAATATGTACGCTATTCTCGACGCTATCCGAAACAATTTTATGAAAGTTTCAATTTTATGAAAGACACAATTTTATGAAAGATTCGTATAAACTTGGTTTGTGTACATGTTTATAGCAAATGTTTTAAAAATTGTGAAAAAAGTCGATGAAAATGTAAACAAGGCGTTCCCGAGCAGCTGGTACCCTGGGAAGTATTTTCCTGATTTTGAGACTACCAGATGAATTCTAGCCTGTTTGTACACTAAATTTGAACTCATCGAAATCCCAGGCAGCGAGCAGGCCAGATGAATTCATAACCGTACTAAAATGTGCACCGTGATTTAACCTTTCGCGTTTAAATGGGTTGCGTGAAACCGAACGAATTTGAACACCGCTTCCAATTCGAAGTGAAACAAAAGCACTGTTGGGGAAATTTATGACGGGCGCCATTTGCATTGAAATGGGATGAAATACCTAGGTCCCGTCTAAAATGACAAACAGTCTGTCACAAGTTAATTAACAACAGCTTAACATATAATCCACTCATGTCCTATACTGATCTTCTTGTATATTCCGGATAGTTCGGTTAAATTTCGTCCTCGACATAACGGGCTTTTATTCACCTCGTCGACATCGCCTCGGTTTACTCATATACTGGTTTACTAAACTGAATAAATTTCGTTTCGCACCTCGGTATTCTCTCGAAATTCCCGAATTTTTTCTAAGACGCACTGTGATTGGCTTACATGGGTATCCATGTAATGCGATTCATGATTGGTCAAGTCGCCCCACCCCTTGGTTGCCAGACACGCTACTTCGAATGTGTTTATTCGAGCAGTACAGAGCAAGGAGTCAAATATTACATTTTTTACGATCAAACAACTCGATCGAGCAGAAATCTGTAAGCTTAGCAGGTAAGGGTGTTATATATCAAGCTATAAACTAGCTTTCTAGTAGCTTTTATTTTGCAAACGGGTCAAATTCTTTGTATGGAATAGTGTAGGTCGAAGTTATACCGTAGAGTGTAGCACATGACGCTTTTGTATAAATGATATCATAGCAAAAACGTTGTTGCTTCGAAAAATTGTTTGTGATTACAATATGTTTCTGCTCGTAATGTTATGTTTAGGTTTTTGAATTTTAGCTTAAATCAAGAGGCTTACAAACAATTGAAAGTGCTCTTTGCAACCGTCAATCTATCGGTCACATTGCAAATCTAAAATTCGATCTATAAAGCTGTACAGATTTTCAACACTATCCAATATTTATTTAACCCTGCAGGCGGATAGCCATATTCGTCCCTCACTGCTGTTAATACGATGTTAGATCTGTTTGCATTTATATCGTTTTGTATTTCTTTTTTAAAAGGCTTATTCCATCGCAAACACTATGGGGGATTATATAGTCGATGGAGACCAGACCTCGGCAAAATTGTTTGAAAAATCACGTATAAAAGTTCTCCAAGGTAGGAAGGAATATTGTATGTCCTATACAGTATAAGATCTTGCAACTCAGGTGTACAATTATAAATAATATGTAGTTATTTTGACTCAGCACAAATATAACCCTTCTAATGTCAGCATCCAGCTATGACCTTTATGCTGCCATTTACAATATAGATATATTTAGTAAATGCTTTAAACGAAACACTGCCAATATTTTGGCGCCAGTTCAAATGAGTATGCTTACTAAGTATTAAAATACTAAATGCTCGACTCGTGAAATATATTTAAATATAAGAAAATTTCGATGTGGAATAAGTTATTATTTCTGTTTCATCAAATTCCGCAAAAACAATTCAAATATTTCTACCTCATTAGCGCCTTCCAACTCTTGTAAAAATACACAAGCTTGTTTTTGTTAGCCCGTTATGAATTTTAATGTATTTGAAAACGATGAAAGATCATTTAAAGCTTAACGTTTGGCAAATATTTCGTAGACTGTTTACAGTTTTGTCGCTTGTTTTGCAAAGTTGCAAAGAGTCCCACTGTCTGCCGCTTGGAAGTCGTAATTGTTTATGTAAAAGCAAAATTTCCGTGTGAAATACAATCCATATTTACAATTCTTCGTATTAATAATAAATTCCCTTTTGGGTGTGGATTTATATTTCAGTTTTTCCCAATTTTGGGAAGTTTTGATTTCTTTATAAACTATATTTACATTATTAAATCCTGAAGTATAAATATCAGTTTTAAATTGCAACAATTTCCGTCGGACTTTTTCCGGATGGGTGAGACGTCAAGTTTCCTTCAAAGAGTTTTGTATTTATCTCTATAATAGCATAATATTGCTAATCTTGGAAAACACTCAAAATGTTGGTTTAATCTGGTGATGTCATCTTGAGAACTTGCTCCACAGCATGCAAGCATTTGTGTTCTTATATATATGCAATGTATCAATTATATTTTGGAATCATACTCAGAGTGGGGCAAATTCTGGGCTAACCTGCTTAGGGGCGGACCATTAGAAAAGTGATGGGGGGGGGGGGG